CAGGGGCCAATCTATCGCTGGTTCGCCCCCAGCCGCTCTTTTTCGACGCCCTACGGCTGGAGATGCCCTTATACACCCTGCCAAACACGCCCCAAATATCTCTCGCCAATCCCTTCCCTCGGGCCTTGGGGTTGCTCCTGTCCTGCAAAGCTTCACTCTAAGGCCCTGTTTGGTTCAGTTTTTATCGACAGATTCCGCTGCCGCGTAGCAGAATTTGAACCAAAGGACGAACCCAGCAAAATCCGATTCCAGAAATCCGTTGTCAAAATCTGAACCAAAAGCGGAAGCAGACTAGGACGTGCTTTCCAAAATCTGATTCCGTTGCGGGCCAAAATCTGAAAATGCTATATCAGCTAGTTTGTCAAATAACCTACATCTTTTTCACATCAGATTTTCCACAGCTGTTTCTCCACAACAGATTTTTCACAGCTGCTTTTAAAAATCCACAGCCGAACCAAACAGGGCTTTAAAAGTGCCCATCAGCAACCATCCGTTCGCTCTTGCACCTCCCTTATCGCGGTGGATTGGCCTCCTCTCCTCTATCTTGTTTTGTTGGCCGCCCATCTCTACTCTCCAAACTCTCAGCTCCCTCCCTCCCGCTGTTCTCGAATGGCGGCCACCTCCGGCCTCACGGCCACCGTCACCTCCCCTCCGGCCGCCCTTAGAACCTTGGCTCCTCCCGGTCTCTTCCTCCGCCCCATCTCTCGCTGCTCCAGACCCCATTCCCTGAAGGCCAAGGTCTGCAGCACTGCCTATCCTGTCCCTCCTCCCTCTGCTGCTACCAGTATTCTTGAATTACTTTTCTGTCCGTTGAGCTGGGGGTGCATAGCCATGAGTTCCAACTAGAGTTGTGGTGCGGTGTCTCTGTTGTTTCTTGCAGCTACGTTGTAGTTTACTCCATGATTAACATGCATAGTCTGTAGAGCTATATACCATGCAAAGAATCAGTAATTTACTCCATGGTAACATTGTAACTCAATTCTGAAATCTTTTCATCCACACAGGCAGCAGCAAAGGACCAGGACGAAAAGAAGCCCGAAGCTACCAAAAAGAAGGCATACAGTCTTGTTTGCACTGCCTGTGAAGGGAATGGTAAGCCAGCCTTCTTCTTCTTCTGTTTAAACTACAAGGAACAACCATTCGCAAAAAAAAAAAGAAAACAGAAAAAACAAAAAAACAACAACAATAACAATGTGTATGGTAAGAAGTATTTGAGATGGTGATAAGATTAGTAGCACTAAACTACTAATTCAGATTAGGTGGGATAGCTTATGGCGAAATGTGGATGCATAGGGTACATGATCTCTAGTGTTGAATACTCATCCAAATAGCTCAATGCATAGGATGTGTGCCAGTTTCCACCTGGTGCTCTGTCATACAAGGTCTCTAAGGCATGCCAATTCATTTTGGGAGATGTGCAGGTTATTCCTGCTATTAAGTAAGTGGCTTTGGAGTACTTGTTGCCTACTCAGACCCAAAATCTTTTACTGGCTTCTCATACACAATAGGTTGAACACCAAAGAGTTACTTACTTCAGAGAAAAACATTTCTTCATCCCTAATTACACTCGTGTCATGTCCAGTACAAGGGTGCATGAAACTAGAGATCACCTGTTCTTGCACTTCCATTTTGCTCAAGTTTATCCAAGAGCAGCTCAATCAGCTTAAAAATCTTCAGGTGCCTTTTTTTTCTTAGAGATTGTTATTCTGATCTCCTGGGCCATTTGGAACACCAGGAATCACTTCATCTTCACAGGGCTTGAGCCAATCCTGTATTCTTGCCGGAAGAAATTCAAAGAGGAGCTGAATTGGGTGGATCAGAGAGTAAAGAAGAAAAAATATATCCAGTTCAGTGACTCGGTTAAAGCCTTTAGATAGTAGTATAGACACTAGACAGCAATCGGCACTCCTTGTGTCTCTTCACACTGCTGTCTTTTCTTTGCTTTCTTCTGTTTCGTTTTGTTGTACTGTTTGCATAAACCACAAAATCTATAAGAATATGCTGTGAGAAGAAATTCTCACAGGTTCGGCTCAAGAAAAAAGAAGGAAAGAGCTCCATGTAGCTCCCGTCTCCACAAGTGAGTGATGAAACCGAATTGATTGGGTTTGGACGTAATGGGCCTAATGGCCTGGGCTGGCGGTATAGCCCGTTAGTCTTAAGGTTAATTAGTAATAAGGGTCGCTTGCTTAGAGGTCAAGTAAGTCTTACTTGAAAGTCAAGTAAACCTCTTTATATAAAGAGAGGAGATGTATCAATCTAATCAAGCAAGAATTAAGAAGGAAATCCCTTCCATCTTGCCCGGCCGTGGGCAAAAGGCCCCCGGCCGGCCCTCTCGCGCCCTCCTTCTAGCAGCGCCATAACAATTTGGTATCAGCTAGCTTCAGTTCGATCATGTCTTCACCGCCGCCCAACCCGTCTCTTCCGCTGCCGGTCACCTCATCGCCTCCGGCGACCACCACGACCGTCGCCCCGCTCCTGCCCGCGCCGGGATCCTCCGTCGCGCCCGCCCCCGTCATCCTCACCCCTGAGGAGGTGTCCGGGGCGCTGCGGGACCTAACACAGGCGGTCCAGCCTGTTCTTGGCCGGGTCCTACGAGCTGCACCCGGCTGCGCCGCCCATCACCGCCACCGCGCCGACGTGGCTGCCGTGGCAGTCGCCGCACCAGGTGGCCCTCGCCGCGCTCGCCGGGCTGCTGCAGCAGCCGCTGCAGCTGCCATCCACCGCCCCGTCCTGGCTGCCGTGGCAGCCGCCGCACCAGGAGGCCTCCGCCGCGCTCGCCGGGCGGCTGCAGCAGCCGCTGCAGCTGCCATCCACTGCCACCACCACCCCGTCCCAGCTGCCGTGGCAGCCGCCGCACCAGGTGGCCTCCGCCACGCTCACCGGGCCGCTGCATCAGCTGCCATCCACCGCCACCACCGCCCCGCCCTGGCTGCAGTGGCATCCATCGCTCCTGGCGACCTTCGCCGCGCCCGGCGCTCCACCACAGCAGCTGCTGCAACTGCAGCAGTCATTGCCTGTGAGCTCCGGCCCCGCATCGACCGCGCCGACGGGAGTCCCGATCCACCAGATCAAGTTCCCGCCGTCGCCATCACCGCTTCCCCAGGGCGTCCCCATCCAGCAGATCAAGTTCCCGCCGTCGCCGGCACCGCTTCCAGCTTGGATCACTACCCGCCACGTGTCGGCGACGGTGAGGCTGCAGACTGCTGCATGCGGCCTCCTAGCGCGTCGGCGTGTGCGGGAGTTGCGTGGTCTGCAGCTGCCGCTCCTCCCAGTTGCGCTTCGCTGCGCAAAGGACCTCGATCTCGTCCCTGCGTCGGGGATCTTGGGCATGTTGTTTTCCCCACGGACAGCGCCCTCAAAGTCTGCGACATCGACGGTTGGGGAGGCGCACCCCTCCTCGCCATTCTCCATCGACAATCCTCCACTCTTCTATGTGCGGTGCCGACCAACAGCCGTCCGGCGGGGAGAAGGCATGGTGTCACCGACAAGAGCGCACCGCGTAGCACCACTGCATTTCGCCGCCGGCCGCCGCGAGGGCGCCTCTGCTGGTCGCTCTTGCGACCATTTCCAGGTGGCCATACACATGCACTCCTTTTGTCCAGATGGTGTCCATGGGATCCAGGTGGCTGTACACGTGCACGTCCGACGTGCGGATGGTATCCACTTTTTGTTAAGAGGTCCAAAATAAATCATCTCTGTCCATTTCAGATTGAGAGTAATAAAACAAGCCGAGATGTAAAAGACTTGTTTTTTAAGAGTTAGGTCTGTGTTGCGTCGAGTCATGGTTATAAGTTGGTTTGGCTGCAGCTCGAGGACAAGCTGCATGTCCAGGTGGGGTGTAGTGTTAGAGTACGTAATGGGCCTAATGGCCTAGGCTGGCGGTATAGCCCGTTAGTCTTAGGGTTAATTAGAGATAAGGGTCGCTTGCTTAGGGGTCAATTAAGCCTTGCTTGGGAGTCAAGTAAATCTCTCTGTATAAAAAGAGGAGATGTATCAATCTAATCAAGCAAGAATTAAGAAGGAAATCTCTTCCATCTTGCCCGGCCGTGGGCAAAAGGCTCTCGGCCGGCCCTCTCGCGCCCTCCTTCTAGCAGCGCCATAACAGTATTCTTGCCGGAAGAAATTCAAAGAGGAGCTGAATTGGGTGGATCAGAGAGTAAAGAAGAAAAAATATATCCAGTTCAGTGACTCGGTTCAAGCCTTTAGATAGTAGTATAGACACTAGACAGCAATCGGCACTCCTTGTGTCTCTTCACACTGCTGTCTTTTCTTTGCTTTCTTCTGTTTCGTTTTGTTGTACTGTTTGCATAAACCACAAAATCTATAAGAATATGCTGTGAGAAGAAATTCTCACAGGTTCGGCTCAACAAAAAAGAAGGAAAGAGCTCCATGTAGCTCCCGTCTCCACAAGTGAGTGATGAAACCGAATTGATTGGGTTTTGGACCATTTCACTGTTGGGTTTTCCTCCGTTGTTATATAAAGGGTGATCATGTATTTGATATACGGTGTTCGCACGACACTTGGGAAATCTTTTATTATCACTCTTTAATCTGTTTTCATAACAAAATTAAACTCTTCTACACATGGATATGTGAACTGTGGCTAGCATTAGCAATCTTTGTGTTCTGTGACCCAGTTCCATGCTTCTGGAGCGAGAATTTTGTAGTATCATATTTTCCCTGAGCAATTTTTATTATAGTTATGTACTACCATGGCTTAATTCTTTACAGAGGGAGTATATTTTACCAACAAATGCATACAGTATACGTGTGAGTTGTTTGATGATTTGATCATTCTCTGAACCGACTTGTTAAACCTTGGAAGTGCAATAATGTGGATTTTACTAGTAGTACTTTAGTACACCACTTCTTGGAAAAAATGTATCTATTTTGAAGCAATTTATGTCTCCCTGCACTTTTTAGCATGTTAAAAGCTCAGCTATAGTAAGATTAATTCGATCTTGGTGCAAATTGAATGCCGTATTGATCAGTGTGTAACAATGTTTCAAATGGATCTGAGAGTCTTCGTTGCATTTTGGTGGAGTTCTACTCGTGATACGTTTTCTGTGCATCGATGCCACGGGAGCTCATTCCAATCGGTTGTAACAATCTTATGGCAAATGGCAGGCGCAATCGCATGCACCCAATGCAAGGGAGGTGGGGAGAATTTGGAAGACCATTTCGGTGGTCGATTCAAAGCTGGAGGATTATGCTGGCTTTGCAGGTAAAATAATTCTTGCTCTAACCGACAATACTCTATTAGGATTAAATAAATTATCTAACTTTCCAATGTTTTCTGTCGGTTCATTTAAAACATGGCAGAGGAAAGCGTGAAATTCTATGTGGGAGCTGCAATGGCGCTGGCTTCTTGGGTGGATTTATGAGCACTGCCGATGACACTTCGGAATGAAATGCTTATGTTGTTATTTTTTGCTTATTTTGTATTTGACAATTTTTGGGAGATCTGTAACATTTTTACTTGTATCCCCTTCAAGGAATTTGTCCCTTAGAAGTGGACATTTATGGCATTTAATAATTGTATAATTTTTTATTTGTGACAAAGTATGTCACTAAGGCTCCTCGCACAAAATACAAAAATGCTACACTTACGGGGCTGGGTTACGGAAGGGACTTACGGGAGGACGTGTCCCAAACTCCCAATACAATCAATTGACCCTTCTAATTTAACCGTGTGCCCAGCCCATGATTAATCCCGACGTCTCCACCTCAGACCCGTAAGAACTTTACGTAGAAAATTTCCATAAGTGCAACATCGCTCCACAAAATATTCATATATGGCCTCAAACCCACCTTGGAAACCCACGATTTGTATTGTGGAAACGAAATTTAATGGCATTAAATTTGGTCTTCAGATGCTTACGTGCAGTGGCCGGGTGGCCCTGACCCAGCCTGAATTGAAAATTGAATAAATAATAATTATACGAATAGTTCCCACTGTTGGCCCACCCCAGCATAATGAGCTAGCTCCACTTCTGCTTACGTGGCCAGATGTCGAAAGTTGATTTTCAGTTGTTGATCTTTAAATTGAAACTTGATGATCGTACAACATTTGATGTTCCCCCCTTCCTTTTGCTGTTAATTGTTTTTAGACAATTTTGTTGTTAATTCTATCTCGCTCGAGCGCGGCTCGTATGGCCACACCCACTACTTAGAAAAGGCTTATAGTTGGGCTCAAATTGGTGGCGGTCGTCGGCAGAAACCCGCCATTGCTATTTTA